GCAAGCAGTGTTGGTGAGGCAATGAGGTTCCAAAACGCAGGTTACGGAACAGCAATGGCAGTTGAGGGTGGGCAGCCCCGTAGGTGACCTGTATGAACGCGCATAGCAGTTGCATGAGGAAAGCAGGAATGGGGCGAGAGACCTGATTATCCAAAAGCAAAGCGCGAACATAGCGTTGTTGCAAGATGTGCTGTTGCACCTTAATATCAATGACGCCTAGACCACCGACATGCTTTGGCAGGTATATGACGGATTTCTTCATGGTGGGTACAATCTTATGACAGACAAATTGGTACACCAAGGAAGAGATCTTTCGCTCAAAAGCGGTGGGCAGGGTAGTGACACGCAGCATGTGCCAAAAGCGAGCTAGGAACAACGAATTTACCATGTTTGCACGACCGTAGACAGAAATGCTTCTTGTACGATGTCTATCCAGGGAGGCTTGAAGCTTGAGGATAGTTCCTTTACAGAAGTCATCTCGCTGGGCTTTGCTGAACCATATAGGATATCCAAGGTACTTAATGTAAGATGGACTATCCGAGTCGTACCATTGAAACTGGAGCCGACTAGAGAGGCGAAACAAGTCAGGACGCACGCGGGACCTATCTCCAGCCAAAGGGAAGGCGATGGACTTGTGATAGTTGACCCGGGCATTAGACGCTCGACCATAGCATGAGATGTGGTCTTGAATGGCCTGCATTTCTGCACAATTATTGACGAGTACCAGCAGATCATCGGCATAAGCCAGCAATTTGACAGGAGCGGGCGCCACCAATTGCAGAGAAGACGACTTGACAGCAGCAGTGTGGATAGAGTATCCCTTGATTTTCTCATCGTTTAGAATAGCCAGCAGAAGAGGTTCCAGAGCAAAGTTAAAAAGCACAGGGGAGATGGAGTCGCCCTGGCGAAGCCCACGCTTTTGAGACACTGGATCCGTCATAAACCCATTCACATTAATCGCAATCTTGGTCTTAAAGAACAGATTACGAACACTGGTAATGAATGTAGAGGGGAAACCAAACTTCTGGAGCACCTTGCAAATATACTGTTCGTTTACATAATCGTAAGCCTTGGCACTGTCAATTGCAACACCAACAGCACGATTAGAATGTAATTGGGCGTCCTCCATGAGGAGTCGCAGAGCAAGACCGTGATCACCAATAAATCGTGTAGGCATGAAGCCTGCTTGATGTCCAGTGATGACCTTGTTGGCCGCTCCAATGACCCTTGAGTTCAAGATCCTAGTGAATACCTTGCAATCAGTGTTGATAAGTGAAATCGGACGCCAGTTTGCCAAGTTCCACAGATCACCCTTCTTAGGTAAGAGCACTATACACGTTTCCTGCCAAGAGGGTGGGAACACACCGAGATTGAGAGCGTCGTTGTATACAGCAAGCACGAGATCCTTGCAGTCAGGGTGAGCCAATATCAGACGAAGAATGGGATAAGGGAGTCCATCTCTGCCTGGGCTACTGACCTTGGGGCAACGGGTAGCAGATTTCAGAATATCATCCATGTCAATAGATGAGATAATGAATTCAGCATCGTCCACGGAAATTGTATTCTGGATACCTCTGAGCAACTTGTCCATAGAGTAACGATGAGTTGGCTCGGGAGAGTACAGCACATCATAGTAAGCATGAACCGCCTCCAGCTTATCCGCAGTGGTAGTACAGGGAACTTCTGTCGTTGGGTGAGTGATAGTGTCCATTGTCCGTTGAGCAAGACGCCTTTCACCCGTCTTCTTCAAGAAGCCGATCGAGTGTTCGTTGTTGTCTAGCCAAAGTCTACCCGCTTTGAGAGTAGCATTGAGGGCAATTTCATGTTCCAACTGAGCAATAGGTTTCTCAACCTTGGGGAGTTCCTGCTGCAATGCTTCCTGATCACCTTTTAACCGACGGATAAGCTGATTCCGAGAGCTTTGGAGATCCTTGAGACGCTGTTTCCTCCAGGAGGCACGGTTACTGCAGTAAGCTTTAGTCAATTTTCGGATGTAGCCCTTCAAACGGTCCCATTTGATCTGATTGCTATCTGAGGAGTTAGCAAGGATGGTCTGCATGAAGTGGCTGATACCAGAGTGGATCTTCTTCACATAGGACTTGTAGTGCACCAGGTTGGGGTTGGCCCGCCATAACCCTTTGCCCGTGTTGTTGAGTTGAAGACGCAGCTTGATGGTCAATAAAGCATGGTCAGTCCACACCGAAGAGACGTGCTCAACGTTATTGTCAAAGTAGAGTTCCTTCAGCTGGCGGCCTACCATGATGTAGTCAAGCGTTTTAATGACCTTGCCCCGTCGAAAGGTTGGAAGAGTTTCAAAGAGGGAGTCACTGTAGTTGTTGTTACAATCATGAAGGAAGGTATCCGTAAACAAGACAAATGCTGCTGGTCGTTTGGTGGGTGCGTTGTTGGGCAAACGAAGGTCGTATTGAAAGTTGAAATCGCCCGCCAAAATCAAACGCTCCAATATGTCACCGTATGAATCAAGAGACTTGATGTAGTTCATAAGGCTGTTGTAGAAAATGGCTCTGTTCTGAGATGAATCCGCAGGCGCATAGATGTTGAGCACATAGATGGGCAACAGGTCTGGTTCCGCGGGTATCGTCAATTTTGCAAATATAATTCTATCATCATCAGAAATGTGTATCTTCTCCATGTGAATATTTCTATTGAAGTTGAAGATGCCGCATTTCGATGTCCAAATACTTTGAACGGATTGAAATTTCAGGTCGAGCATTGCAATCCTGTCGTCAAAGTTGAGAGAGGGTATGTTGGTTTCCTGGCAAGCAAAAACATCTAAATCTTGCCCCCTTAAGTATCGAATGAAGGAATCTGAGGATTGAGGATTGTTGACTTTGAGTAGATATCGACAATTCAGAGATCCAAATTTGATATTTAAGGATTTCCTATAATTATTATGATTACTCATAATAATTATTGACGTGATGAGGGGTTGGTAGAAGCCTTCTTCTTCGAAGCCGTTCCACCGTGACGAGGGCGTGATGCCTTGTCCTTGTTGTCCTTGTGCAATTGCTTGGCCTTGCGACGTTGAAGCCTGAGCTGGCGCCTCATCTTCTGGAGAACCTCATCCAGAGGTATAGAGCTGCTTGCCGCCTCCTTGGCCGCTTCCTCCATGTTGATATCGCTATCATCGACGTCGTCGTCACCATCCATCTCATCATTAAGATCATCTTCCGGAGTGTCGCCTTGTTGCTCCTGAATAACCGTTGAACTCTCTTGTTCAGAATCACCCGCTTCAACCGCCTTGGTGAGCTCCTCCCCAGTGTCAGCGACGTCCTTTCCATCCTCATCACTAGATGGAATGGGTGCTGTCTCTTCAACAGTGGAAGAGGATTCCGTGGTATTGGAATTGGTGATGGTTGATTCTTGAGAAGATGCTGGGATGATATCTGTAATGAAGGGTTTAGTAACCTTCGACTTGTCAGAAGTACTCACATCTGCCTTAGCAGGTGTAAGTACTGCAGGCGCTGCCTCCTTGTCAGTAGCCTTCGACTGATGTGGTGATGTGTGTGTTGTGTTCAACTTGGCAGCCTTCTTGCGTTGATTCCACCATGCGCCCGGACATGTGGCTTGTAAGTGATTAGGGCTACTGCAGATATGACAGTGCTTCACTCGTTGACTCATGACAGGACAGTTGCCAAAGACATGATCAGTGACATGACAACGACTACAGGTAGGCTTCATACCAGTGTAGGTAATCTTGAGAGTTTCACCAGATTCCCAAGAGTTAATTTGAGGTACCAGAGGTGCATACTCTTTACCAGGAATGAGATTCAAAGTGACGAAACCTCTACCAGTAAAGAAGTGCCCATGCACAGTATGGAGCAGACCCATCTCCAAGATTTCTCCATATTTACCAAAAATTGTTGACATTGCATCCTTCAGCGTCTCCTCGTCTTCATAAGGTAGATTGCTTACACTAACCCGAACAATGGTAGCGTCCTTAGGATAGGTACGGCTGACAATGACTTGCTTTCCTTCATAGGTAAACTCTTTCTTCAGGGCGGCCTCCCTGGCTTCAGCAGTGCGAAAATTGATTTCAAAGTACTTGGTGGTTTGACTGACGTTACGGATGCGAAGACCCAAGGCATCCGGGAACTGACTACGAAGTACTATCGCAAGATCCTTGAAATTAACCTGCAATGCAAGGAATTGCTCGGTCGAGATGATCACAGAGCTCTTGTCCCTGGCGTGGAGGAATAGTTGTCCCCCCTCGGTGAGCTGGCCCAGCTCGTCAGAGTTGCGAGATGTCAGATCAAATGTGTCCCTGGTTTGATCCGACTTCAGGATTTGCGCATATGACCGCATAGGATCCTTTTGTTTGGTGGCGTTGTGGCGAGAATCCGTGGCTTTTCCACCTTTAGGATCTCGTCCTTTAGGCAATGTTTGTTTATCGGGAAGAGCCATGAATCGAGTCGAAAAACTTCAAAATTTGTCCAATTTGGAACAGACTATGAGTCTGGATATGAATTAATTTTGGCCTATGGTTAGGCTGGCAAACTCAATGCCTTTTCATCATCATGAAAGCAATACAGTAATAATAGATGCTATTGAAGCGTATGGAGAGTAGGTGGCAAATTACATAGTGCTATCATTAGTCATGCTATTCTTGTTGCATTCTATATTTAATAGCGCCAGTTTACCAAAACACATGTCAGATCAACTTCTTTTCTTTTTGCGGCTTTGAAAGTGTCTAGGGACTGAACATTTATTGTTATGATGATATAGGCGATCAGGCCACAATATCAACTCAAGACCTAGGGGTTTGAGACGTTCCTAATAAAAACTTGGTCAACATTACCATTAATAAACATACAAATTATCCTCTTTAGCAGCTATATGTTCTATAAGTTGGATTTAATTCTAAAATCTAATAATGAAAACGCTGTTCTTGCTATTCTATAGGGATATACTTTATTACGATAAATAGGTAGTTTTGCATGATTAGATATTAAGGAAAGGGAAATTGTATACAGGTTAATTTAATGAGCGTTGAGTGATTGTTGGCGCACCAAGTCGTAGTAGACGCCTTTCATCTCTAAGAGCTCCCAATGAGTACCTTGTTCAATGACACGACCGCCCTTCACGACACAGATGAGATCAGCACCTTGAATGGTGGAGAGACGATGAGCAATGGTAATTGTAGTACGGCCACCTTCTTCAAGAATGTTATCAATAGCATGTTGCACAAGTTTTTCACTTTCACTATCTAAAGCCGATGTAGCTTCGTCTAACAAAAGCACCTTGGGTTTGCGAATAAGTGCACGAGCGATGGCGACTCTTTGTTTTTGACCACCTGAGAGCTGACTGGCTTTATCACCTACTCTGGTCTGGTTATCGAATAAACGTTAGTAACAGCTTCCACACTCTTTCTAAATGCTTAAACTTACATCATAGCCGTTGGGTAAAGAGGAAATAAAGTTGTGAATGTTGGCAGATCTACAAGCAGCTTCAACTTCTTCTTGAGTAACTGTTTTCTCATCATCAACACCAAAACGGATATTTTCACCAATAGTCATATCAAACAAAGTGGGCTCTTGAGATACCAAAGCCATGTGGCTACGAAGGTTACCAAGAGAGTAGTTTTTGACGTTGTTATCATCCAAGCGAACAGAACCAGTAGCAGGATCATACCATCGTTGGAGCATACCAATAGTGGTAGATTTACCACAACCACTGGGGCCGACCAAAGCGATAGTTTGACCCGCCTTACCATGAAGGTTGAATTCACCATTGAAGATGCTGACATCGGGACGAGCAGGATAACGGAAAGTGATATCCTCGAAATCAATATCACCCTTGATTTGAGCACGAGTAGGTTCAATGCCTTCGAGCTCAGGATCAATGGCAGGTTGACGTTCGAGGACTTCGAAAGCAGCGATAGAGGAGTACTTGGCCTTGGCATAAGTAGTAGTGAAGACTGAGGCACGACCAACACCTTGAGCGGTAATCATGATGGACATCATACAGGTAAACATCTTGTCAAAGGGAAGTTGATGATGCCACATGAGTTGGACACCGGCATAAAAGGCAACAGCGTTGGTATAAAGAGTGATACCTTGTTGAAGAGCATAACCAATAGAAGACATATAAGCCTTACGTTGAGCAAGTTTATGAGGGCGATCAGTAGCCTTGTAGTACTTGTTTTCAAAATGTTCTTGCTTGTTGAGACCAGCAACAGTACGGATTTCCTTGATGGCTTCACCAGCAACTTCACCGCTTTGCTCATTGGCTTTCTTGGTGCTATCTTCGAAACCACGGTGGATCTTGGACTCGTAAAAGGTGGCAAATGCAATGAAAGGAGCCATACAGAGAATGATCAATGTCAACATCCAACTTTGAGAGAAAGCAATGGCTAAACCAGTGATCAAAGTAACGATGATTTGGGTCACATCACCCCATACTTTTGTAACTAATTCATTGACATTCTTTGAGTCAATGGCAAGCTTAGAGGTAAGAGCACCGAGAGAGTTATCCTAATATGCAATGTATAAGTATTTATAATTTTATGACAGCTAGCAGACTTACGTCTTCATCAAAGTAGCCGACTTCTTGACGCATGAAGGCACGGAAGATATCAGCACGGAGACGCTTAGTATAACGTTCACCAGCAACTTCAAACGAGATGACTTGAGTAGCAAATCCAATAAAGGCAGCAACACCGATAATAACAAACAAGAAAGAATAGAGATTAGTACCATCCATAGGGCCAGGAGGAGCCAAATTGGGATTGACGAGTTGAGAGATAACTTGAGCGAAAATGAGAGCGAAACAAGGGAAGACAGCACCAGCAATAGCAGCACCAGCAATACCAACAGCCAACAAGGGCCATTCAGGACGCATTTGCTTCAAAACCTTGTCAAGAGGCACCTTTTGCTTCATGGCAACCTTACGTTCATCTCTTTCCTTGCGAAGCTTGAGTTCATAAGCATCCACAGAGGCACGACTGGTGGTCTTGAACAAGTTGACAGTGGTATCCTTTTCATTGACCAAGGCATCCTCAGCACGTTGCTTCTCGGCAAGAAGTTCCAATTGTTCGCGCTTCAATAATTCTTCAGAATCAGCTTCTTCAACAGCATCACCCACTTGCTTGGTAGCAATCTCTTGCTTTCTGACCAAATCAGCATAAACACCGTTCAATTCCAAGAGATCATTGTGGTTGCCTTGTTCAATCAAGTCACCAGCTTGCATAACGACGATAAGATCAGCATTTCTAATGGTAGAGAGACGATGGGCAATGACAATGGTAGTACGATCAGCAGCAGCAGCATCCAATGCAGTTTGGACCAAACGTTCTGATTGGGTATCTAAAGCAGAAGTGGCCTAAAATGAAGTCTGTATTAGATTACAGCTCTGATTAGGAGCATGATTCAAATCTTACCTCATCCAACAAGAGAATAGAAGGGTTTTTGAGAATAGCACGGGCAATAGCGATTCTTTGCTTTTGACCACCAGACAACATACCACCGTGCTCACCAACGAGGGTTTCATAGCCATCAGGAAGCTCAGAGATGAAGGAATGACAGTTGGATTTCTTACAGGCAGCGACAATATCATCGTTGGTGATTTCTTCAGTGACGCCCATTAGCAAGTTTTGCTTGATGGTCATGTTGAAAAGGACAGGTTCTTGACTGTATAATTTTGTTAATGCACTGCAAGTCTAGGCTATCAATGATTCGCAACTTACCTCACAACACCAATTTGACTACGAAGCCATGCAACATTGTATTCCTTGAGATCCTTGCCATCAACAATGACCGAGCCTTCGATGGGATCATAGAAACGCTGCAAAAGTTGAACACTGGTGGATTTACCAGAACCTGATGGTCCCACAAATGCGACGGTCATACCTGGCTTGATCTTGAGATTGAGCTTCTTCAAAATGGTAATATCAGGACGAGTAGGGTAGCTGAACTTGACATCTTTAAATTCAATTTCACCAACAAACTTTTGGGGAGTAAGGCCACCTTGAGTATCAACATCAATAGAGGGAACACGATCCACAGTGCTGTAAATCTTGTAGGCAGCACCACAAGCACTGGAGACGGCAGACAAGTTGGGAGGCAATTGCAAGAGAGCAATGGCACCCATAATCATAGCGAAAAAGACAACGAGGACATCTTCACCAGCCATAAGTCCATCACGAGTCAGCTTGGAACCATACCAGAAGGAGAGACCATAGGTGGCAAACAAGATGAACATGAAGGAACCGAAGCCGAAACCAAGGATTTGGCCACGCTTGATACCAGTCTTCATGGCCTTGTCAAGTCTGGATTCATAGAGATCACCAAATCTCTTTTGGAGAGAGAAAGAGTAGACAGTACGGATACCAGCAAATACTTGTTCAGCAACGGAACCAGCATCGGCATAGGAATCTTGAGCCTTGAGAGTGTACTTTGTGATGTAGTAACCCATGGCACCACCAGCACCAGCCATCAAAGGAAGTGTAGCGAGCATGACGACTAGCGGAAAACGCATAAATATACAGGGCACATCTTATAATGGATCCTTCAACAACTTACCAGCTAATCTCCAGCCCTTGACAAAGGCAACGACAAAACCAGTGACAAATTGACCAACGCACATGACGAGGAGACCGAATTTCTCACTGATACCATCTTGGATCAATTGGGTATCGGTAGCCAATCGAGTGGTCAAAGAGCCTTCTTCGGCCTTATCGAACCAACCCATTTCTTGACGGAGAATGGCATGTACATAGAGAGAGCGAATACGACGCACTTGGTTTTCACCAGTGAGAACCCAGAAGCAGTTGGTGATGTAGGCGCCAACCAGGACACCAGTACCCATATAGACAAATGTAAGAATGAGGGGATGACTGTCTCTGGCCAATTGCTCGTAGTTTTGAGAGGCCATTGCAGCACCAATGGTACCCATGAACTGACCGAAAATGATGATGGAGACGGGCTGCATCGCACCGATACCAGCTGAAATGACACAGGCACAGAGAATCATCAAGATTTCAATCTTTGTAGCGAATCTAAACAGTTTGTAAATAGGAACGGCAGGCTGCTTTTCCTTCTTTTCCTTCTTCTTCTTCTTCTTGTTCTTGTCATCCGCTTCTTCGTGAACGGATTCAATCTGTTGGGCAGGAATGGCTGCAATTTCCTCCATGAGCAGCTTCTCGTCTGTGTGTGAGGGAGGGGTGTGTGTTGAATTGTTGCTATTTCGTTTCTCTGTATTCATTGTCTGACTTGTTGAGGACGATCTCGACGATATGCTTTGATCTGTCATTTTGAAATAAACAAAGACAAGGAGAGAGAAAAAAAAAAGAAATTTGATGTATACAGTGGTATTTATATTAGAACAAATGTTGCACGAATGTAGCACAATGCAATAGAAGCAAACTTCGGTGGAATAGATAGACCGTGCTGTCCGAGCCAATAACTCGCCATCCTCCCTGATGGAAACGCTTTCACGTTTCTAATTTTGAGTTTGAACCCAATAAAATTCGGCACCTGCTCCACACTTCCTACTCCCCGTATCCCTAAAATTTGACTCAAAAAGAAAATAAACTTTTTCCGTTTCCAAAACGGATTCCATGTGATTCACTCTTGAATGCGTCATGGCAGGTTTATTGCTGCTCTTGTTGCTGCTGCATAATAGAATTTAAAAGAGCAATGTCATTTTCTAGCGTCGTCTTTTCCAATTGTATCATTGTGAGCCGGGATCTAGTTTGACGTAGCTGATGAGACACAGTATAAAACAAGAAAATGCTTGATATACTCACTCGTTCTTTGCCTTGACTGCTTCAGGCACCGACTTGAAATAGCCTGGCTGTCGCTTCTTGGCCTCCAGTTTGTCTAGATCAACATTCAGCTTGTTTAATTTCTTGGTCAATTGTGCATGCTTGTTTTGAATCACTGTGTCTAATTCGATCCCCTTTGCTGCGGCACCCTCTAGCTGGGCTTTCATCACATTGGACGAAGGCACCAGGATCTTGAGCTTGTCGTTGATCACCTTGGTTGTATATTGGGCGTCTTGATCTCCTGTCGATGAGGCCTAATGCCCAAAGTTGTTGTTTTTAGCAAGCACATAGATATCAGATCCAGTTGCATGTGTATTACCTCAATGCGCAGATCAGACGCTTTGACAAAATGCTTGATCTCGTTGATATACAGCGACAATGGTCCATTTAGTATGGCATCATCATCGCACACAATTGTAAAGGGCAACTCTTTGGCAACACTGATTTGGTGACCTTGTCTTAGTGACCTCGATGCGTGGATGATGGATAGAATCACCTATCAGAAAGATTAAAAAAAAAGAAAATCATACCAAAATGGCTATATTAATCCTATTACTTTAAAGTGATCCTCTACTTGCTTGTCGTAAAAGGATGAGAACTGTGTTTGGTTTGGCCATGATTCTACCATCAAGGAAGGGGCATTGGAAGGGCTTTCTAGGGCCGATTTCATGTGTTGATATAGTTCCTATTGACACCGATTAGATAGCGTGTTTGTTTGTTTATGCGCTGTTTACTTACCTCTGTAACAAATGGCATAAACGGATGTGCCAAACGCAAAGACGTATCCATACACGCATGAAGAATCCTCAACGTAGCATTCTATTACAGTTAGTGTTTTTGTTTGAACCTCCGGAATTCGGCGCCTATTACCTTTTCTTGAGCATCTAAATCAGATCTATTCAAGGCCGATTTAGAAAATTCAACATAGACATCGCAAACGTCTTCCACGATAAATCTTCTCAGGGCGTCTGTCGACTCAAATAAGCGACTCGTCTCAAACCCCTTTTGGCAGGCTTCAATGGTGTTGGCCATGCGCGATAGAATGTATCGATTTACCAATGATGTGCTCTTGAGATCCACATCCCGTAACGTCAAATCCAGGTCAGGCTGCTGTAAGCGAGGCAGACCAAACTTGAACAGGTTCCATAGCTTGTTGCAAAAGTGCGATGTTTGAACAACATTGGATATATCCAGATTAATTTGTCTCGATTGCTGTGTGTATTGGACAAGTGCAAATCTCAATGAGTCGGTACCACAAGGTGGGATTCCGTTTGGAAATTCTTTTTCAAGATTACGAGTACTCCTAAATATATACTGTCAGCATTGATTTGCGCCAATTTCGGTCTGTAAATGTGGATACGCACGTTCCGATTTCTTTTTCTGGGAGATTTGTGTGCAACAGGTTGTCCTTCATGTCCTGTAAACTGATTCCTTCAATCACATGAAGCGGATCAATGACATTACCTAATGATTTCGACATTTTACGACCTTGGGCATCGCGTACCTACCATGGTATTAGTGCGCTTCTTTGCTCATCTCTCATCCGCCTTACCATGCCGTGCAAAAAGATGGTCTCAAAGGGTATTTGATGATCTGAAAAGTGATTTGCCAACATGGCCATCCGTGCGACCCAAAAGAATAGGATATCAAAACCCGTTTCCATCACTTGAATGGGATAGCGATTCTATAAGTAATCTCTTTTTAGAGCTCCCTCCTCATCTGTTGACATGGCAACCGCACTTACTGGAATCGATTCACCTTGTCTGCCCTTCCAACCCAAGGCAGATAAGGGCAGCAAACCAGAAGAAAACCACGTATCAAGTACATCATCATCCTAGTTGCTAATCTAAGTAGGCACACATAACGTCGAATGACTAAAAATACATACCTTGATAAGCTCAAATGAGGTATTCTGTGGGTATCCCTCTTTTTCGAGTAGTTCCACAGCCTTGATATTTGCTTTTATTTTGTCAGACCCCACAACCCACATTTCACCTGTTCAATTAAATAGGCCGTTTCGGGCCGTGTTAATATAAATTACCATAAACTGGATGCTTGTATTACCTTGATCTGGACGAAGGTTGCCATGGATCTTGATCTGATAGGCTGGAATTTCATGGCCCCACCATAATTGCCGAGAAATACACCAATCTTGTATGTTATCTGTCAGACGGCGTTAATATTCTGCCTCCCCTCCCCTTAACGCGACTAGGCTACTTTTGTACCTAACCATCTGTACCAGTCTTGAACGAACTGTTCAGGCACAATCTTCATTTGATTATTCTCTACTTGCTTTTTCGAAATGGCAGCGAGTTCCTTGCACTTGATGTACCTATACTTGATATGTGAGTGCATCGTACGACACGATGAATAATATAATGTACCATTGTGGTTGTAATAACGGTTCGATCACATCGCCCGATCTTGAACAAACAGCGATACGCATAACGTGATTGTCATTTCTACCTTTGTAGCTGCCCAATTCACTTAGCTTTTGGATGATGGTGTCGCGCACTTCAAACCGATCTTGCCCCTGATATTAAAATAGAATTAGTGGGCAGGTTTGCATGGACGCCGTTATCAGACCTTACAACGAGCTCTGCCAATCCACAGTTGTCGTTGAGTTTTCCCAATTTATCAAAGATGCTTTCAATAGGAAGTTGATGACGACGAGCACAAGCATAGTCATTGGGATCATGTGCTGGTGTTATCTATCGTGGATATATGTAAGCAACCGCCAATGAACGCAAAAAAAAAAAAAAAAAAAAAAAAAAAAAAAAAAAAAAAAAAACGTCAGGTACCTTGACTACACCAGTTCCGAATTCCATATCAACCAGCTGTTCATCACAGACAATGGGGATCTCTTTTTTGAGGATGGGATGATACACGGACTTTCCATGCAAACTCTACAGCAACATTGTTGTCAAATCACATGATACGCATCTCCAGTGTCCACGTCTTCATACCTTGTATCTGTTATCGTTAGGATGGATAGCAACTGCACAGTCCCCCAACATGGTCTCGATACGAGTTGTAGACACCGTCAATTCCTGGATGCCATCTACTTTGGGATCAACCACCTTGTACGAAAAGTCGTGTAAAACACCAAATTCCACACTAAATGCAACCACTTCATTAAAAGCATGTCCTATACTACAACAACAACGGAGACTTACGGCTTTGATCTACCAGGCAACGAAATCAGAGTTCTTCCTGTTACATCTTTGTAGTCTACTTCGATATCTGATATCACAGTTTCCAAAGCACAGCACCAATTCACCAGTCGTGTATCACGGTAGATCAATCCGTCATTATGCAACCTCATAAATGCATTTTCCACAGCCTCGTATCTGCTCTTGTCCATCGTAAAGAACTCGCTATCCCAGTCTAATGAGGCACCCATACGTCTCATTTGGTGCAAAATGTGGTTACCGTATTTTTCTTTCCATTTCCAAATCTCTTTCACAAATGCTTCTCTGCCCATATCATGACGGGTGAGTCCTCTTTCCTTCATGATCATCTTTTCAACTACTGATTGTGTTCCAATGCCTGCATGATCTGTGCCAGGGATCCACTTTACGTCGTAACCGCTCATGCGTTTCCATCGTATAATGGCATCTTGAACACTGAATGTCAAAGCATGGCCAATATGCAGCGATCCAGTGACATTAGGTGGTGGTGTAATCATGGTGAACGGCTGCTTTTTTGCCACCTCAGATTCATTGTGAGTTGCGAGAAAGTCTGTACTGCTTGCTTTGAATAAGCCTTGCGAGTTCCACCACTCGTACCATCCTGCTTCCACTGCTTTTGCATCATAACTGGCTACAAACTCTTTTTTAGGCTTGGGTAATTGGGTGCTGGTGGTTGCCATCAATCGAATGACATGTTGGCTGTGTTTTTTGACTAGCAATCTACTCGAATGTGATACATGGCGTATTCTGGTGAATCGAGCTCCATAATTAAGCATAGTATCTACAGGTTGTACCGAAAAAAGAAAGCCCTGGAAGTGTAGAAGGCTTTTTTTTTTGACATGGGAACTGAAATAGGGTTGGATTTAAATGTCCGGAGGCAATGGTGGGATATCCAGAATCTAAATTTATGCTGCTCTTTTGGTGCCTTTTCCTTTCATCCAAGCCATGGTATATCAAACAGCAACTCCCGAGTCATTTCTCGATGACTATCGAACACAAATGAAGGTCAAATTGGTCAAGGAGATGGTAGGAAAGAAGCTGGATCAACTTCGCACGCCTAGTCTTGTCATCAACAAGTCCATCTTGCAAAGAAACTGCCAAAAATTGAGTAAAATTACAACTGGATTGAAAAATACTCGCATCAGAGTGCATGTAAAGACACACAAGGTATCTGAATAGCGCTACATCACGTATTGAGCGACACGTTATGACTAATTCCTTTGTGTAGTCTGTGGAAGGTGCTCGTATTCAACTGGAAAATGCTCAAACGGATGCTATCGTCGTCTCGACTCTACCTGAAGCCTACGCCATGATCAATTCTGATTTGACTTCGAGTGGATTGTTAAAGCAGGTTGGGGTTTCTGCTAGCAAATAGTTTTTTCTGGAAGCTCATCCCACATCATTAGGTCTTGGTGGGATTTCCCATCACTGCAGATAAATTTGATGCCATTTTTGACCTTGCAAACAGAGTTGATGTATTTCAAATATTTATTGGTAAGAGTTGATACCATGCAATGCTTATGGTTAGTGTATACCAATATTTTTATAGACAATTTGGCTACACTGGAGGCATTAGAGGAATACTGCAAGTCAACTGGATCTCAGAGAAAAATCAATGCCTTTTTAAAAGTAGATTGTGGCTATGGGTAATCATTAGCGCTGCATCGTCTTCATCATTATAACTAACAATCAAACAGACGAGCAGGCGTCCCTATCAACAATGAAAAGACACTTTTACTCGCAAAACGCCTGTCTGGCTCACCTCATGTTGTATTCACTGGTATATACACACATGCTGGTCATTCTTATTCATCCCAAAGCTCTGATGAATCATTGGAGTACCTCAAAAACGAATGCGATGTCGCTCGTCAATTCAAAGACTACTTTGTCAGCAATGGTGTCCCTATCGACTATGTTTCCATTGGTGCCACACCTACTGTTAAAGCCATCACGGCTTTTATGGATCATTTAGACATGGATTACATTTTGAGAGACATTAATGAAGTGCACGCAGGCGCATTCGCCTTCTTGGACAGACAACAAGTAGCTACCGGCTTAGGAACCTACCGTGACATTGCTATTTCGGTTGCTTGCCGTATTGCCAGTGTTTATGAAGAGAGAAAGAGCGTGTTGATTGATGGCGGTGCCTTGGCTTTTTCAAAGGATACTGCACCTCAAGGTGGATTTGGTTATGTCATTGATCCATGTGCCAAAGGCGATGTTGAAATACTGGCTTCTTTGACCAAAGTATCGCAAGAGCATGGTATCTTGCAGCATTTGGATGAAACTACTTTGTCGAGACCAGAATTACGAATTGGAGAGCTTGTTCGTGTCATTCCCAATCACTGCTGTTTGGCTGCTGCTTGTCATTTGTATTATTTGATAATTGAAGATGACAGCGATGTTGTTGTAGATGTTTGGGTACCTGTCAGAGGATGGTAAAAAATGAATAAAAGATTTACCAAGCTCTAGAGACACCATTTTTTGAGCGTAGTACCTGTGTAGATCATGATGATAATTTACTGTTTATCCTTGTTTGAATAAGGCTTGACTTACTGAACATTTCACTCTTTCAATTATACTTCAACACGCCAACCACATCTGACTCCTTACTTATTATACAATTGTGCGTAAGCGTAATCAATCGCAACAAATTTCCAACCTGCACCATCAGCAATTACACTGATTTGTGATCATGCATTAAATACCTCCAGTTCACTTTTTTGATCTAAATCTCATACCGTCTACGTCTATTATGCCAAATTCAAATACATAAAAATTGATTTATCAGAAATAAATTATTTATAAAAAAAGAGTATGAAATTAATCAGGTAAAGAATATCGTTTATTACATTGAAAATAAGAGGGTTTATATACTATTCGAATTAAGGGATTTTATGTGAGGATAAGGCATTAGATGGGTTGATTTGGGTGATAGGATAACAGATCCAATCTATTATCCTGAACATGCCATGATATGGATCGTAACTGAATCCTGTTTCATGTCAAAGTTTATGATCTGATGTGATCGGTGCTTGAACTGCTTGTTTCTACGCATTTGGAGATCCGGTTTAGAAATGATACATCAAAAATAATGATACACTGCATCTTAAAACACAAGCCTACAAATTGCGCTTTTATGAACAGTGCACCGAGACAATGCATTCATATTTTTGCTGTGCACTTTTTTAAGACTTACGCTAAGCAGGGTTAATTCAGACTAATGAAGAACATGTGAATCAAACACGACATGGCTAATAAATAATGCATATCCATACTGAAGCATCTCTAAATGGTCACTTCAATGAGAAGAACGCAACTTCAAATATTTCGAACCCCGATTTTGGAGTTTCCGATTGGTTTGAAACCCCGGTTTTGCCCTCTAAACGATGGTGCAATTGAAATTTGCGTAGGTAGCATGGTTGTTGAGAAAAGCGTGATTGTTGTGCCAGAAGGGCTACAACTGTCTATAAAGATTAAGGTATTCTTGATGGGTAGATATGTCTGTGTTGTGCAACAACATGGACAAGCTATGATAATTGAAGTGCATCTCAGCTATCTAAATACTGAGGTTCACCAAATGTGATAAGCGTTGTACAAGGTAAATTGCTACTACTTTGGCATTCAGAACTTAGTATAAATAGAATAACTCTTGTCTTCATCAATAAATCTTTAGTTTTTGTGTCTGATCTTATTCAAATAAGTCGTTTCTTGTTTTTATAATATCGAACATTTTTTATAAGCTACAAATAATAATCCTTTTATTCTTTGTGCTTAACAAGGGCAATGTGGATGAGTAATGATGGAAAATAGTCAAAATGTACGATTTTCAAAGAGCCGTACCGCTTGATTTTACTAAGTGAACGAGAGCTTCAAACTTAATAGCTTCTGTTTCTTTTTCAATTTTCTATAAGATGGTAGGGTTATTATAGGTAAGTAAAAAAAAAGTTGAATATCCCCTGCTTGTAGCTCATAAAACATATGATTTTGAGCAAATTTATAAAGGGAACGTACATTTGTTATTTAAAACCCTTATATTATAGTGGATCTGACGTAGAGCTATCGAATGGTCTTTGTTTTGCGCGAATCCAATGAGTATTTGTCGAGATATGGTCAAAAAAAGAGTATCATGTAAAATCATGGATTTTTCTTCAAAATCTGCCTGTGGTAGCAAGCGAAAAAATCGGGCAATCTTTTTTTGGTCAGGACAATGCTGTCAATATTTCATGATAGAGTCATGCCAGAGCTTCAAGCAATAGCTCATTTGATAGGAAATTTTCTAGTCTACAATGCTTAGTACTGCTTAACAAAATGTTTTGATGACAAATACAGATTAATCTTTTGAAAACAGTCAAAAAATTGCAAGGACAATCGTATCAAATATCAGGTGAACAATGTACCGCAGAGACTTAAAACAAATATCATTGTATTCTCCTTTGAATTTTCTACAAGCTTTATATACGTTTGAAGGGGTGTTTACTATCAAGAAACGCGTAATTTTAAGGTTGATAGCTTTTGGAATCCCATGGATCATCATTCAGAACAATAGAAATTGAATCTCCGTGGAGCTTTCACATGTGTACACCACACATGTATGCATTTGACCAAGCATTTTAAAAATCGGAGCGTACGAAAAGGACCATATTAACTTGTCGGTTTTAAGTTATCAATAGATACCTGACATGTTGAAGAATCTTGTTGTCAAGACTAGACAACTGTAGCTTGCTTTATTAAAGAATGATAATTTTTCCAATTTAAAGTATGCATACCTCTCTGCTTAAATTACCATGTTTATTGTTTCGTAAATGTAATTTTTCTAGTATCAAATTTCCATCTAAAAATGTCTATATAGGTAAACTGGTTAATAACATGGTTACTGTAATGAAATAGCCACCCAAACGCAACTTATTTGAAAACCAAAGTTCATCAAATAGCACTCATTCAAATTTATGCTATTTGGATCTATTAATGAAAGCGCTCAAATGTACATCAAAAACCCATTTAAAAATACTAAAGTAAAGATACACGCTTATATCGCACATCGTGTGAATGAATCACTCCTGATCACAGTGTATTCAATCACACCCATGATGGTCGTAATAGGTGATGGTATCTTTATCCAAATAGAATTAAATCAATAACAAGCATATTCAAATATGACAACTATGCCCTGCTGCCATAGTTGCACAATATCCCAGATAAAGGATTCCATGCTTCAATAACAAACATCACACTTTAAACCATCAAGGTTACATTAAATCATGCTATGACGATAGCTCACCCAAGCCCATCAAGGTTACTCAAATCGACCCTTATGGCCAGTGCTCCTGCATTGATTACCACTTTAAATCAAACATCAACAACATTTGCCAGATATCGCAATAGCAGCACCTATTGCTCTCTATCATCACTAATCCTACAAGCCAGATGCAAATGTATAAATACTCTTCTTTTTTTACTCAATTCCAGGATCTTCAGTTCATTTTATACACAAAATAAAATACAGTTGATTTCTATTGTATTTTACCTTTGCTTTATTTTTTTTTTGTGAAATCTATTTAAACCTAATTTCACTGCAGTTACGAAAAAGAAATAATGTATTACAATAAAGTCAAGATAAATAATGTTTATCATTTGGAAATAAAATTCATCTTGTCACTGACTAAAAGGCTCGGTACAAGGCTTCTATGTATCTGACATTTAGTAAAGTGTTGTGTGTATAGATATAGTTTAAGAGTAGACTTAGATAAATGTATATAAAAGAATAAAATTGAGATAAAAGATGATCTTTATTGCTTTGCAAAGTGGTTTGATATGTATACTAAATTAAAAAGTTACACACAAAGTCTGTGTGTACCTGACAAATGATCAGAAGAAACAAAATGGAATAACAGAAAGGTTGTTGGGTATCAGAAAGTCTCTTTTCGAAAGACGTTATTAATAGCAGTAACTGCAAAAAAATGATTTCTGCCAGACTTGAACTGGCGGCCTTCTGCGTGTTAAGCAGATGTGATAACCGACTACACCAAGAAACCACTTTCTTTTGTGTCAGATGCTAATACGTAGAGGTAGTATATGCAATCTGAGATCTGATCGAGATATAAATGGAAGTAGATATAGAGAGTGTGCAGGAAGATGTTATAGCCTTTTAGTTGAATGGATAAAAAGGTGCTTTATTAATATTATATTTGAACATTGATTTTATCCAATATAGTTTGTGTAATGTTGTGCGCTATCCAGGTTAATCGCTGTTTAATGTTCCTGGTAGCTGGCGCTCTAGGTTTAAACCTGCGCTTCTTATTCTTGTTTGTGTTTAGTCTGTCAATGATATCCTGCAGATCTAAATCACTGTCAGAATACCCTTCAACCCTGACACTTTCGCTTCTCCATCACTTTTATTAGGGCAAATCTTTTTTCCGCAAGGATAAACGTTCTCCCGAGATACACGTGACAGTTACAGAAGACCTTTACAAGTACACACATACAAACAATAGCACCAACAATTAGCAAACCCATAGCAAACAAAGCGAACAGCTCAACAGCACCTACCTTTGAATTTCTCCCTCAAACAGAAGTCTTCAAGTCCACAACTCCTGCAGCAAAGTCGCACGACGAATTAGACCATCCAGTCTCAACTGAACCGCCCACCGGCACCACCTCGCTCGATCCATTTACTCAGGACACCCTAACTGACAACCCAGTTACCAAATCCTGCAAGCGTAAACACAGCCTAACCACTACGGATAGCTTACCATCGAAAGTTATCAAAATGAGAAACCCAAAGGACAAAATCCCTGAAAAGGACATCTTGAAAAAGAGAATCACAACCACAACAACCACCCCCAGCTCGGTTAAGAAATCAGCAAGTGGTACGTCACTGTTGCCCAAACCAACTGCACGTAACACAGCAACCGACAAGCTGCAACGCACGGTCGAGGAAGCAAACAACAATGCAGGTCAACCAATGCAGGAAGATCAGCATAGCACTCCTTCTGTCAACGATGATCCAGCACCATCTGCGACAGCACTCGACAATACTGGTGCACCTTTGGTCAGCCAGATGTCTTTCTCCCCTTCTGCCAACACGCCAGAGTGGGTGTTTCATTTCCAGAGGGAATTCAGAGCTCACGAGCAACGCATTGCCTCCTTGGAGTACGCTATGACCGAAATAGACAGACTCAAGTCTGAACTGGATGCCACGAAAACTGAATTAGCTTCAGCAAATGCTCAGGTTGCCTCTCTCCAAAAGCAACTCTTGGTGCGCACTGACTCTGGCAGCAATGCCTCTCAGTATGCGTCGCTCCCTCCAACAATCCAGGCCACTAATGGTCGTGCTCCATCTCTTTCACCAGCAGAGTTTCCAGCTTTGCCTGCTAACAACACCAAGTCTGCCTCTTCTTCCCCAAAGAACGCTACCTCATATCAACCTGTCAAAAAACGTAAGAAGGAGTCAATCAAATCTATCTTGCGCATGTTTGAAGCACCCCGTGTTGTAGATCCTTCCATCTTGGAGGATCCTCAATACCGTTACTTCCACTTCGCTTGTAAGTATCGCAAGAAGCTCGCCAAGTATCGTAGTCAGCTACGTCGTCTCAGTCTTGACACTGGACGCATCTTGGATATCCACTACCCTGCCAAGGGTATTGTTGCTCTCTTGATCCACCAGGAATACTCAACTGACTTCCTTGCAACGCTGGCCAAGCACAAACTTGAGCCTATCACCGACTTCGATCAATTTGCTGCTGCAAATCTGAACGATCCTGCTCTCCTCACTCTGGATGATGCTGCTCGTGCTGCTAAAGCCAGAGAGCTTCAACAAGCCCGTCTCGCTCGTGGTATTCAACATGCCCGCCAGTACTTGCGTTCTGCCATTGCTCGTGATTTTCAAAAGCAAGGCTTCCTATCTAGTGAACAAGTGGAGACCATCCTCCGTGGTGGATCCATCTCTACCTATGTGAATACTGACATGGACACCCAAGGTTTTGAATCCGCCTCCCTCTCTTCTTCTTTACCGCCACCCTCACCTGCTCCTCCTGCTCTCACCCTAACCACTTGGAATGCCAATGGTCTTGTCCGTCAAACCGTCAATACTGTTACTGACTATCTAAGTAATTCTTCTCTCATTTTCATCACTGAAACATGGGTGCTCCCTCCGTTACGATTCCCCACAACATGGCAGCAGTTCCATACTGTGGAATTTGAGGCTTGATAGACTAAAATTTACGGAAAAAAAAGAATAAAAAAAAAAACAGTAATGTCAACTTGATAAAGGTATGTTTTATTATCAAACTGACAGGTGTAAAGTAAACTCAAGTCTCTCTACTGGCCAGGTAGATGATCCTTCTTATATACTATAACAATGGATAAAAGTTCTATTAATTAGATTGACAAATAAGTCAACTCAGATCAACTAATGTCTAATCATGCTAAAAGACAACTCCAGCAAGCTAATCATGATTTAGCTTTGCCTGGACGAATAATTAGACTCCCATCCTAAGTACCCTGATCTATCCTTTCCATAAGGATAATTAATATCGATCTAGTAGCATGTATCCGATAGGTACAGTCTTCTTAGTCTATATTAATAGTACATATCTGAGTGTATATCGCTAAGCATACATCTTTAGCATGTATCTGGATATATGGCATGTCTATAGCATATCGTATGCATGTCTATAGCATGTCTCATATATAGTACAAGTCTGTAGTACATAAAGTATCTGTAGCTAGTATCACGGATATAAGCATGTGTCTTATAGCGTGGATCATGAAGTGCACATCTGAAGCAACAAGCTCATATTGCATTAATCTTGGTGCCTATCTAGATATGGTAAACATCCGTAGTCAATGTCGGAATACAAGTATAAGTCTATAGTGCCATCCATGTCCGTGGTGCCATCTATAGCCTATATCTTATATACTGTAGGGGGAAAAACTGTCCCGTTCGTTCAAATAATCTTGACTTTTACCCAGTATATTGCCAAAACTCAGAAAACAAAGCTACCCCATACTGCGTTCGATAGAACAGCTTATAGGAATCACAGCAACGTAAAAACCTTATGGCTGGACTATATTTTAATTCCAGTATAACCAGCTAAAGTGAGACGTGGCAAAAATGTTAGGTGGGTAATTCTAGATGATATAGAATGGCTGATATCTTTACTTCAAATAGACGTATTGAAGAAATCTAAAAAACTACTCGCGGTATGCTCAGGATATCTAATATCCCAGGAGCACTCTAAAAGTATAAGAGAAGCTAGTTTCTTCATGTTTTTTCTTTATTTCTTTGCTTTCTTATTTTTTTTCAAAACTTTCATTTTGCCTGCTCGTTTCACACAAGATTTGCGCAACATTCTCCAATCTTTGCTCCAACGTGGTCTTTCGCTCTCAAAGATAAAGAATTTGTATCCAGGAGTGGGTAACTCTACTCTTACAAGGCTCAGAAAACTATATTGCCCTGACCCAGCTAGACCTCTTGGCGGAAGACCGAAAAAACTTGGTGCTAAAACTATGTCCCTAGTGTCAAGAGGACTTCGATCAGGTGCTTTAGATAATCCCCGAGCAGCACAAGAAATTTTAAGATCGATGGGCCATGATATGTCAATTAATGGCATCCGCAAGTCATTGAGACGAAATGGACTTAAATCTCGTAGAAAAGTAAAGACCAATTTTGTTAGCAAGACAAACAAGCGGCTTCGATTGGCGTGGGCTAAAAAGCATAGGCATCTTACTATTGCTGATTGGCGTCGTTGGGTGTTTTCGGATGAAACAAGAATAAATCTTTGGGGCTCAGATGGTAATTCTTTTTACTGGACGAATGGTGGCCGAATCATGCAGTCGTATCAAGTCAAGTCTCAGTTGCAGGGAAATGACGGTGGGGTCATGTTCTGGAGTTATATAACAACGGAGGGGCCTGGTTATGGTACTACCATTATTGAAGACGCAATAAACTCGGGCTTGTATGTCGATATTTTGAAGACATCATTGGTCGACACTCTTGAGCACTTTGGGAAGGCACCGTCTGATGTGCAATTCCAACAAGGCAGGGCAACACCGCATACCTCAGGCACTACTAAGCAATGGTTCACCGACAATGGGTTCAACCCAGACGAAATTATGGATTGGCCACCCCAAAGTCCCAATCTTAATCCCATTGAACATGTCTGGCATCTCCTAAAGCTTCGTCTTAATAAGTATCCCAATAGGCCCTCTACAAAAGAAGAATTAGAGCGGCGTATTAACATTCAGTGGTACAAAACAACAGAAAAAGTGTGCCAGAAATATATTGATAGTATGCCTGCCCGAATCAAGGCTGCCATCAAGAGCAAAGGTGGTTCAACTCACTATTAATGATTTTATAATAAAATGTACATTTTTCTATATTTATTTTTTAACCAATAAAATCATTGGATTTTAGTTTTTGAAAACGTTATAATTATGTATAGATAGCACTGCTTTCTCTCATTCAAACGATATATATTTCGACTTTGTATACAAAGAAATGACCAAAAACTTGTGCAAAAAGACAAAATTTTAAACGAACGGGACAGTTTTTCACCTTACAGTAGTATGAATCTTATAGTACTAGCGTATCTGAAGTCCATATCTTCTTATAGTATAAATCGATATCGTACATCTAATCCAGTGTACATACAGTTTATATCTAAATCTGGTAACTGGATGAGCTGTCGGAATGCAGATCATAGTGGATGTATTCCACACATACATATGGTAAACGAGTCTCTGGTGATCCTCATCACACACATTGTGGCCAACAAGGTATCACACTTCTTGTGAACCCCACTTGTCCCTACCCAGTCATGCCTCTGCCTTCCCGCTCTCCCTATGTCTTTTCTTGCCTTGTCTCCAAATACCTTATACATTGCCTGTATTTGCCGCCATCCTTGTCGGATCAAGAAGTAGCTGCTCTCTTTGAGGGGCCTGATGCTTTGGAACAAGATGCCAACACCATCCTTTGTGGTGATTTCAATGCTCGAAGTCAAGCCCTGCTTGGTGACACTGCTACCTACACTCGTGGTTCGTGGCTGCATGAATTCATCCTGTCCAATGGATTGCACTGCTGGAATGCGCTTTTGGCGTATGGTGTCCCTACCCTTTCTTCACCAAGTCGGTTGGACAATGCTCAAGTTGGGCATACATCGTGGAATAGTATTGTTGATCTGATCATCAGCTACTCCCCCCTTCTTGAACCTACCATCACTACGGCCCAACTGATGTTCTCATGAGAACATCGATGTTGTGCTCATATGAGAATCTATTTGATGTTCTCAAATGAGCACATCGATGTTCCCGAAAGGTGAAAAATGCTCTCATATGGGAACATCGGCGTTCCTAAAGATCTATTATAAGTCGGCCGATGTTCTTATGAGAACATCCGAAATGTTCCCATGTGAGCACATCTGTTAAGCAAAAAGAATAAAAGGATTATTATTTGTAGCTTATAAAAAATGTTCGATATTATAAAAACAAGAAAAGACTTATTTGAATAAGATCAGACACAAAAACTAAAGATTTATTGATGAAGACAAGAGTTATTCTATTTATACTAAGTTCTGAATGCCAAAGTAGCAATTTATCTTGTACAACGCTTATCACATTTGGTGAACCTCAGTATTTAGATAGCTGAGATGCACTTCACTTATCATAGCTTGTCCATGTTGTTGCACAACACAGACATATCTACCCATCAAGAATACCTTAATCTTTATAGACAGTTGTAGCCCTTCTGGCACAACAATACGGTAGGAAGGATTATCTACCTGGCCAGTAGAGATTCTTCAGTATATTTTTACACCTGTCACTTTAATAATAACTACACCTTTATCAACAAGTTGACTCTGTTGTTTTTATATTTTTTTTTCCGTGACTATAGAAGAGTTGATAAAAACCTCAAATTCCACAAAGAGTGTACAGGATATAAAGATTTGTGATGCCTGTAATGATATAGCCGTCTAAAAGCAATATTTTGAATCGTTGAAATCCATGAAATATATAAACACCTCTTTCTTATCTATCCAAATGTAGCCTCTTCAGTCTATTTTGCAAAGAGATTTTGAAATCAAATAAATTTATAACCCGGCATTTATAGCTGAGGAAAAGGTATACAGTACTACTCCTTAAAGCATACAATACCGCACTACACTACGGCCCAACTGATGTTCTCACAGAATATCGATGCGCTCTTTTGGGAACATCGATGTTCTCGTGAGCACCTCGATGTTCCCATATCAGAACATTTGGCTTTACACTGTGAAGATAGTTATCAGATATGCGCTTTTAAATGGTATGGTCAGACTTTTTGAGTTCTTTTGTTTATTTTTCGTACCGAACGCCAATTCGTAGCATCATTATCTACGAAGTTAGAAGCCTCCAAACTTGCTCAATTTGAAACAAATCAGGAGAAAAAATCACGTGACCCGAGTTTCTGGTTACTTTGAGTCGCTATGTCAAAGTGGTAATATTCCTGACTAACAAACTGAAGGTCGCCAGTTCGAATCCGAGCAAACTCGTTTTTTCTTCGTTGGACGTTAACCTTGCTGGGTTAATTATGCTTTTCTCAAAATGCTTTGATGGTCAGTGATGCGGATCCTTTTCTTTTATTATTTTTTTTTATAATTATTTTGCGCATGCCTTCATGGACAACAAAGCTGTAAGAGGTATACAAGTATGATTAATGAATGTAGCTATGTATTGTATTGACAAATGTATTATCTTTTATTTCGTAGCCTCAAGTGGGTAGTTTTACGCGAAAGCAAAAAAAAAAATCTGTATGCGATTTCAATCCTCGTTAAAGGTTGCGAATATCGCCAGCATCGATCGACATATCTTGTTCAAACGCATGGTAGTTTGCAATGACGCTAAAGTGCAAGTCGTTATCCAAAGATTTCACCAATCCCACTTGCATCTCAACATCGTCAATAGAAATGACAGCATACTTGGGATCAATCACTCTCGGCACCCTTCTTGCAATTTGTTGTTCGACAGGCTCATTCATACGAACAAAAGGGACAGACCTGTCGTGAGAAGCAACACCATGATTTTTCATGGTTTCAACGAAAGCCAAAAAGTAGGTCGACCCATCATAGACATGTTGGAAAAAGAATATCACTCGCGAAACAAACCAACAGGAGACAGGGTGGTTAAGTCGATTGAGGCGAGTTGACCTAAACATGACCAGATGGTTGCTTCTACGAAACTCATGCATCTTCTCTCTGTATATTTCTGATCCTATGGCAGTAGAACCGATTAGAGCACGATGGGCAACCTTGATGGTCATTGACAATGGACTGTTCAGCCTTTGAAGTAAGAATATCTTGCAATAGTATTTCGACAAAGCACGCTTGAATCTTGCAATTGGAACACCATGGAGTTCAGCACGATCAGTACCATCGAAGCCAAAATGATGATCCAAATTTGTCTCTTCTTGATCAGGTTCCCACAACTGTGAGCTTGTTAGAGATTCTGGATGATTGAGGTATGTGGTGGATGCATATGGCTGCGGTCGAATGCCTTGGAGGAACTCATTTGAGTCGAAGATCCTTTTCAGCTGGTTTCTGATTGCAACAATTTCAATCAAGTTGGAAGATTGCTTGCCTGTCCTTGACTTGCCAGTTATCAAATCACCAAACTTTCCAATGCTTCTGTAAAATGGATGATGTTGTTATGTAAGTAACTGGATGTGTGTGATAAACATAGCATGTATAGATGACTAACCGTTCTTGACTTCGTGAGGAGTAGGCTACAATTGGCCCCATTTCTCTTATCATCCACACTACATGTGTAAGCTGATGCATTACGGGACGGAAGACCGAAAGTGACAAGCACATGGCATCTCTCTGAGCTTTGCAGTAGTCAATGAAGAAGTCAATGCATTCATCAATCTCTGCCAACCTAGACTCAGTGAACTCCCATTGCAATGCAAGACAGACGCCTCTAACCAGCTTCATGATTGCTTTCCTAGCCTGTGGACTGGCTAATTCTGGGACAAAGAGAGTAGGTATGATGGTCTATTTCAAATCAGAATAATCAGATCCTAATTCACGCCTTACATGTGTACGTTTGCAGATTACAGTGGATCTGATCTTACCAGCAAATTATCAAGATAGTCAACACTGCGGGTGCCTCGTAGCTTCTCCACCAGATTCAAAAAGCTTCCATCAAATGCAACTGGTATATGTGATCTTGTGTCCTCAATTGCTTTGCCAATCTCGAACAGCCGTTGCTTTGGAATGAAAAATGGATAATTTTCTCGCTCCAATTCACCATCTGGATATGTGTAGAAGAACTTTGTGTTGTTCGGAGACAGGTCGACAGTGAGCATCTCGAAGAGTTCTGAACCAACACCTCGTGCTAATGTATGCATTTCTTCGAATCCAAAGCATTGGGGTGCAATGCATGACGATAGCTGATTGAAAAGGCTGACACCGTTGAATCCAAGGTTGGACTCAGCCCTCTCGTAATCTTCATTCGTACGCATGCTTCCAGCATTTGGAAAGTACATTCCATGGCTGCGATTATCAGGGTGCATGCCACGCGAAAGACACCAACGACAGCCATACTCAGATGCATGATGAGCACACTTGCTCCAGTCAAACACGGCTAGAATAAAGCAGGTAGGTAAATCAATTTCATGTTAGCCATTGTGGATGCTGATTAGTTGCTTTATCAATCAGGATATTTACCTGGAGTATCACCACCACAAATTAGAGGATGAACCTTCAAACGAATTGGCCCAGCATCATTTGTTTCGACTACCATTCCATACGTAGAAAGCCACTGGAGCTCTGCCAAGATGATGGAAATGAACGAGTCAAATGATTTGGGCTTCTTTTTTCCTGGAAAGATACAAAGCTCGTGCGTGTACTCCTCCTTGTAACGCTTGTGTGGATCGTAATTGAACACCATCAGATGAATAATTGTGAATAGCCGATCACCTCTCTTTTCAACTACAAAGCCATCATTCATGATCGCAACTGCGATATCCAGGTCATTTGTGAAATGCGTATTCTTGATGGACTTGTACGTGGCGCCGTCAAATACGTCAGCAATGATAACATCGGATGGATTCTCTTCAAGGTCTCTGTTGTCGTAGGCATGTCGGTACCGAAGCTCCTCTCTCGTTATTGGATTCGCAACTAATCGTGATACGATGTCTCCAATTGACATGACTTTCATTGTTGACAGGGCTCGATGATCTCCCCGTGCATCGTATCTTTCATGGGAACAAATATTACAAATTGTCTCCTCGTCGTCTACTTCCAATGCGTACAGCTTGCAGCCATTGATACACACATCATATTCATGGGATGTCAACGATGATTGGCGCTGAAGCATGCTTTGCACACGAGGGCCATGCATGATCTCCGGATTGCTTTCTATCAGTTCATGGGGGGAGGATCGGAAGCTGGTGAGTTATTGTATAAATGACATGTCATTGCAATGCGAATTACCTCGACTAATTTTTTCTGTATCTCTCAAAACAGTGTTCATCAACCTGACCAACTTTCTGTATGCATCCCGTGGTATAGCAAAATCATTGACGATATCATACAGCTCAATCGAAACCAGTTCTGTGGTTGTATATGTATTTTGGTTGATGTCTTCGAGGGATCTGCAATCGTAGAAGCAAGCCTGATCTTCTGCATCTGGGTCGACTACTCCAACTGTCTTGTATTTGACATTTAGCAAATCAAATTCAAGCCCTGGTTCTTCTGGATTGTCTCCTGTTATCGCATGTGTGGAATCCGCTATTGTGAGTATATACATCTACTTTAGCGCTGCAATTCCTTACCATTATTATCGACAATAGGCAGCAGATCAGCAGCACCCGGCGTCTGTTCAAAGCCTGCGTAGTCATAATCAGCATCGTCAGCAGCAGGAATCATTTCTTCAATATCACTCATGGCATCATCATCATGCAGCTGGTTTGCATGATCTGAATTGGCTGTGACTAGCGCACTGGGGGGAGATTGTGGCTGTATCAGCGTTGTTTCCACTGGAGGTTGCTCTTCCATTTCAACATCTTGATCTTCATTCAAAATGGGAGCACGACAGTTTCGGCGATGGTTGCGTAGAGCACGGGCACTGTCAAAGCTGGTATAGCAATTTGTACAGAAGGATGGCTCTGTTTCTCGTGATATACGGATTGAGAATGACATGTTTGGAGAAACCAAGAAAAATAGGCAAGTAAAAACAAATTTCAAGTGGCAGCTTTATATACTAATTC